CAACGCAGAAAGACACACTCTCAATTAAATAAACATTTCCCGAGTAATTAGCAAGCGCGTCACATACATTAGTACCTGCACCTTGCTCACTTCTCAAAAACATCAGTTTTCTGAAATATTCTTTATTAACGGTATCATCGTCAGAGCGTAACTAATGTTGTAGATAAATATGATTAATTTTTAAATTTATTGCATTGTTAAGTTAGATTAACATAGATTTTTGCAATCATAGAGTTCGTGCAGTATCTTGTGATTCGCACAGAATTTAGGAACAGTTGGCAGTAAAATCCAGCAATGCAGAGTTTGTCTACTTTAGGAAATCTAGTGTGAAAGTTTGCAATCGTCTGCTTGTTCGTTTGCATTACGTTTGCGTGATGGGCACCGTTTTTCTCATGGAGCTTATGGTGGAGTTGGTGATTTCTATTTTACGTCATCATTCAGGATACCTTCCTGTATAGACAACGTCTACTGCTACATAGTAAGTATAGCGTTAAGCTTCCGGTTTCATTTTTCACAAAGTCGTACTTGATTACGAATCTCAGAATTACGAAAGGAGAGTGATCTGACCAGATCTCAGGCTTAGGGCTTCTTGACTTTGAGCTCAACACTCAGACCGACTAAGCAACCTCAATTGATTTAAAAGAATCGTGCCAGGATGGTTATCCCTCTCCAGCGTTGCAGCCTATATCTTGGATATGGAATTACTTTAAGATTCACTGTCGATGTATTTAGTGGCTACAACTACCCATACATCACTCTCTAAGCCAACAGACAGTTCAAGTCGCTAACGAGATCAGCGGTAGACTTACCTCAAAGAAGATCTGATAGTTAGACAGAGATTTGTTGTTAGAGGTTCACAAATCTTCTTCAAAGTGAACAGTGTTGTTGATTTTGCTGACGGCTGTCGACTGCTTTCTAGCTCAGATACTGTGCTCAGCTATGGCTGGCTGGAACCCTCACCTAGTCCAAAACTGATATTAAACCTTTAAATGTGATTGAAACATTGATGCACGCTTTCCATCGTCAAAATCAATGTCATACTTTACTTTAACCAAAGTCTGTGATTTAGACAGATTCATAATCCCGATGGTTCCTTCATCATCATGTGGAGATGGTATATAAAACAGTCGCATTTTGTAGGATTTTTAGATGGCAACTAGCTCGCAAACAAGCTGTTCACAGGAAACTTTTTTTCATAATCCAATCGAAGCCTCATGTGACGGTTAACTGGCAGAAACCAAGGCAATGGACTGAATAACACAGTTAAGTACAGTAGTCATAAACGTCTACCATAAGCTCTGAATGTTTCGGCTAAGGACGCTTTGAAAATCGAATGTGACAGATCTCTATGCCTTGCAAAGTGGTTTTTAGGGGGAAAACGCTCCAGTTGCACATCAGGACGGAAGAATGGAAGCTCCGTTGCTCTAATTTCCAAGGATAGAGTTTTCAAACCTTTTCTCTGTCAAACCGTGTATCCTCTACACCAATAATGGCTACTCGAAAACGATAAAAACGAAGGATCCGTATATTGCTTGATGGATGATATCAAAGAATGGCAAAAAATTTGCACCTGCTGAACTGTTTGGATCACTTATACTTGGAGTTCCCAGAATAAATAACGTGTTAAAAATGTATGCTTTTACGCTCTGGTCCTCATCCCTCAAAATATATAATGATTACATTTGTTGCTGTGCCTATTTATGTTTTTCGAGATAAAATCAATTGATTTATTAGCCGTTTTGCTGGGAGCAATTTTTATTCATCATCGTTTTGGAAATGCAATTTAGGTGTAATAATAGAATATCATCATCAGACATCAACCTCGCCAAATCATATCATAACATGAGTTTAAGCGTTTATGTTTCTTAACGAACAGTAGTTTTTTTCACGTTGTACTGCCCATTACGCTCTTCAGATAAATGGGGAAGCACTGGAGCTGGTGGAGAAGTTAATGTAGTTCATGTTCTTATTTACCGATGACGGAAAATTTAAGGAAGTGATCGACCGAAGAACTGAGATGGCCAACTGCGTTCTGCATGAACTGGCTTCAACGGTCTTGACTGAAGCAGAGGTGAGTCTGAAGACCAAGCTATTGGAGTTCAGTCTGCTCAACTACGGTCATATGTCGTGGACCATTACTGGAAAAGCCTCGATCCTACGTTCAAGTGGCTGAAATGAGCTTTCTGATACGAATCACTGGCCTTGACATGGTCTGAAATACAGAAATCTGAGTGAGCCTCTGTTTACAACCGCTGCTCCAGATTGAGAAGTCACAACTGCGATTTTTTGGCACGTCTTCCGAGTGTTTCCGGAAA